TTTCTTTTCTAATCATTTCCTTAACTTTCCTTATCTTCCCCTTACTTCGAGATTTGTGAGTCCTTGGAAATATTGGGTGTAACTCACCAGAAGCACTCACTTGTCACTTTTACGTTTTGTTACCGAGAACCAATGGCGTAGCGTAGTGGGGGCGGCAGGGGCGGCAAAATTTCACAATAAATAATATTATCTTGTAAAAATTTGAACCATTTTAGTCTATATTCGCGTCACGCCTATGATAGTGCTATCGTTCGGACAGTCCGGGAATCGGCTCACCGTCCCGGTGAACTAGTAATTTCATCCGAGGATATCCTGCGCAACCTGTTGAAATTTTTTTTTTGCTTGTACGATTCATTCGTATTCATATATACCACAGTCAAATTCACAACGAGAAAAGATAAGACGTTTACGAATTTTCACAAAACGTTTATATTACAAGTAAAACGTACGTACAGTTACAAGAGTTCACAAAATAAACAATTACAAAACGTCAGGTGTAACAAAGTTCAAATACTTTTAATCCACGACAACAGGTCTGTCGAAAAGACACCTTGCGACGAACTTCTTCCAACGTTAGTTACTGCACAACGAGACGAAACAATCCTCTAGGCCAGCTTAGACGAAGTTAGACAAACGTGAGTTCCCTTGATGTGTCCTAGGCGAACTAAACTTTCCGCCTAAACTCAATCTTTTGATTGAGTTTAGGCGGAAAGTTTATTTGTTTCAATCCATGTAAAAATACATGGATTGAAGCAAATGGGATTCCACCAATCTGCGCTTACTAGCGCTACAAGACGTCCGCTGTTGGTATGATGTCTTCCAGCCAATCCGCGGTCGAGTTTCCAAAAATTGTCTGATCGGCGTTCCCATGGTGATAATCGTCGTTCGTTTGAAAATACGGAAAAACGCGGGAAATCGTAGGTACGACGATTTTATCCCGACAACCACCAATATCCAATATAGCTACAGTAGAACCTCGATTATCCGGACTAATTGGAGATGAAGGTAGTCCGGATAAGGAAAAATCCGGATAATCGAAACAAATACTTTAATTTGACTTTTAATGATAATACAACACGTTTTCTTTTCGATGACATATCAGTAATATTAAAAATAAATACTGTATTTAAATCGTGATCAAATTCTCAAGAAACAAATGTTTGTATTGAATTTGGACTACTTCTGACCAGCGCTAACAGACTATCTATTGTTTAAAACACCTTTAGTTCTTCGCCCGAGTTAACTCGGGCATGTTACATAGCCTTACATAAAACTCGGTCCTTTCGGCCCCCCAAAAATTTTTGTTTTTTTGAATTTTTGGAATGTTTTTTAAGTCTCCAAATTTTTCAAAAATTTTTACCCGCGCAAAAAATTTTATTGCGATTTTAATGAGCTTTTGATAAGGCTCGATTAAGGCTTAATTGTTTTTTAATGGGAGTTTGTTATCAAATTTATTTCATAGTTCCTAAGTTGTAGCGCACGGATTTTCCTTCGGTAAAGTTATTTAAAGCTGCTTTCTGATGTCAAAAACCACCTCCAATAGTTTTTAATTTTTTTAATTAATAGATTTTATTATATACACGTTTAATTAAGTCGGGGCGTCGGAAATCGCAATTAAAGTTTGAATTTTTTAAAAATATTTTAAAATATACGGCCAGATAGAACTCACCCTACTTTAAGCCCTTGTCCTCCCGAGACTTCTATGAGAATATTCCGGGAAATCCGACTCCAGCTGTGTTCAAGGTCATACAGCTGTGTAAACGATGACTCATCGGTGTCAAATTTCGCAGAAAGGGGAAACAAAGGAAAATAAAGTTTGAAGCTTTTTCTTCAAAATTAACGCATTTCTTTCGTTTTTTTTCAGTTTTAAGTATTTTTTATGTTTAATTACATTAATATCAAAAATTGCTAGGAACTTAAGGCGTTAAAAGGCCCTCTGGTGGCGCAAGAAGACGAATTTTATAAAATAAAAAGCAGTTGAAACTGCATTTTTATGAATAAAAGTTTGACAAACTATTTATCGTTTTATGATGAGTAAAATTTTTTCGTCACATTCGCGCTTTTAAGTAATGCATAAACCTTCGAGGTGCGAGGCCCTTCGGACCACGAAGCATAGGCGGTGGCCCACGTCGTCCATGCCTTACGCCGCCCTTGGTCATAGAAATGATGTAATTTGAATATAAATTATTTATAAATACGTATGTCAAATTATATTTTTATTATGACGTAAAATATATTTAAGAGTTTACGACCACTGTGCCGGCTGAGACACTGTTGAAACTAAAAAAGTTATGCATTCCATCACGTACATAAACTGTGTCGTAACTCGCTAAGTGCAAATCAGCAAATTCGTAAAATTTTCGTTTATTTTGAACAATCCGGATAATCGAGGTTCTACTGTATTTTAAACAGGTCGCTGCACTAGCACGGAGTTTTTCATTGCTTGTTTAAAATTTAAAAGATTAAAATTTAAAAGACTAAAACTGAATTTTAGTCTTTTAAATTGAGTTACCTAAATAAGGGGGGCGAAATTTTCCTTTGCCCCGGGCGGCTGACACCTACGCTACACCACTACCGAGAACTCTGATACCTGTAGACTGAAAAACTTCAATTTCATTTTCTTCAGGCTTTTACGACAGCGCGGGATGAAAGATCTTCGGAAAGCAGCTTGATGCGCACGCCAACTTCGCTCGCAACTGCTGCCTTAATTTTTAGAACAATTGAACTTAAACATTCTTAGAATGCAAAGAAAAGCAACATCTACCAGTTTTCAAAATTTTATTTATATTCGACAAGTAGAAAAAAGATATTCTTATGAATTTGAGTCATAATTAGGAAATCACCCTCTTAGGAATATCAACCAATGGTCTATAATTCAGGTAATTTATGGGTTTTAACCCTAGATTAGGTTTCTTTTTAGGTATTTTATATCCTATTATCACATTTTGAAAAATTTTCATTACATTTATTTTGTGTTTCTCCTCTATGAGAAACGCAAAATAAATGTAATGGAACAAACAAACTCTTCGTTTGGTAATTTCATCGGACCATCATAAATAGCCAAAATGCATTTTGGGATATGTTAATAAATAAAATGGTTTAAATTGTATATATTATGGTAACTTAGTATAATAGAGTCTCATATGTATGATAAGCCCGTAAATTTAAATACAATAATATAATACTATTGTATTATACATACATACATATATAACAATTATGGCAGCTCTCATAGCCTTAGTGTGCTAATGTCTTCCATTATCTAACCAAGCAATATTACTTACCGATTAAAACTTATGTTAATATTATTCTCACAATTTTCACTTTCATTGTATTCTCATTTTATTGTACTGTAGTTTATAAAATTTATATATATAAAATTGCTTGTCCTGACTGACTGAATGACGCGCCGTCGG